ACATAATAACGTTGTCAGGAGATTAATTGAATCCCGCTATTTATTTGTTTATATATTTGCTATATTATTATCTCTGTCTAGTTACGCGAAGAGACCAATGAATATCGTCAATGGATCAATCAAGCAACCGGATCCAGGATTGAAGCGCTTAATGAACTAGAGGAAGCCAGTAGAACAGCTAGCGAGGCACAAGCTTCAATACGCCAGCGTTTGGAATCAATACGCGGGTTGCTTACTCGAATCGCGGAGATAGTCAGTCAGCTGACTGAAAAATTAGACTGCAACACGTACCCGCGTCTTTTTATATCCATATCCCAGCGTTCTTCATTCATCCACTTTCTTGTTTGTACCTTTTACTGTTCTAATAGTGATATCTTTACTCTATCCTAACCCGGCTTCTTCTACGGTAATAATTTCATTAAGATAGTAAATTGCTATTTGATGCTTTTAACGGTAGCTTATTTCATGATTGATGACAAGCAGAATAGTCCGCAAAAGCTTTTCCTCACTTTGTGACTTCATGTATCTGTCAAATTAAATTTCTCACTTTTTCGTTGGAATATTTGTCAAATTAAACTAGAGACTATTTTGGTAGGCAAGGCCAATCACTGTCCATTTAGCTGTATATAAGTCTTCAATTCATTCATTGTAAAATGAATTCTTTATTTGGTCGTAAATCTTTTAGTAGGCTTTGGGTCACTAAAGTGGTCTATGATTACCAGGTTATCTATTATTGCCGGTAGTTTGGAGCGCTACCAAAGAACTCCCAACCATTTTTTTACATGAATAATGATGACGCATTCACAAAAAGTCTGAACGTTAAAGGACTTAATCGATACGTAAGTCCACATAATGTCTATTTACATAACTTTAATAAGGAAGGTATGAAAACCAAGATGGTGTGGCCTTTTGTGTAGGCGCAGTCTTCTTTCATTGTATAGAAGTTGTTTTACCCTGTTTTCGCAGCTTGGTCATATTGGTAGGAAGACTTAGAGGAACGCACCTTGTCCGGAGTCAATTGTATGCAAGATTATTTCCAGAGTCAGACCGGGGACATGGTACATTCCCAGACGTTTCGCCGGCATCGTCAGTGAGTTTTGCCATTCGTAGCACCATATTACAACTCGTCAAAGAGACAAGTGAAGCCCATTATTTGACCAAACGTGTGCTAAACAGTTATGGTATCTTCCCTTCTGCCCTGGCCTACTTACATTTCCTATATGCTCCTATCACGCCTTCACTATTACAATTTTTTGGTACGGTGTGCCCATTTGAGCGGCTTTCATGAGAACCCTCCGTACTCCACGCTGGCCTTCTCACCCCTCTTCAGCATTGTGCTGGGAATGTTTATCAGAGTCTGCCATATTTTTACGCAGTCCTTCCCTAGGTCTTACTATAGTCTCTCTCTTGCCCCGTAAGATCCGTCTGCCCTCTCCCTGGTTCACATATTTCTCTCGACCCCTGCCACCCCATCTGTGTCACTCGAGGCGTTATTCGCCCTCCCATGTGTCTGGGTGACTAATTCTAGGCCAAACCCTATTAGTAAGTCTCATGGTCAGGCCTTTGCCACATGGACCACGTCTCTTATAAAACCTACTGTCAGCCCACTAG